TTAGCTTAAGAATAGAAGCCACTACTAACAAAATTGGTTAGTAGTGTATATAGTATATGGCAAAAATCACCAAGTCGCCCATCGATGCGAAATTGCCCCCAAAGTCATGTGAGTTGGGAAGGGCTTGTCGTTCCTGTAAAGTCTCGTTTGTTGTAAGGCCCATGTGGTTGTCGTCAAAGCCCGATCTCGCATTCACACTTCGAATCCCGTCGACGACGATGGGGTGAGGTCTAAAGGGATGAGCAATTGGGAGAAAGAGAACGGCCTATTGGTATTACTTGACAACGTGCAATTCAATAACGAATCATGCCTTATCTTCGATAGCCTTTGGAACGAGTCACTAGGATTTCGGTGGAAGTTGATACATCTTTGCCCCAAGGAGGGGTCAGAATAAACTTATCGCATGTTGAGGCCAGGGCGCTTTTCATATTTTGTCTTCTAATGCTTCAATTTCTCAACAAATGTTGTCTTGTTGCCAAAGCGGTCGTATGATCTTGTTTGGAGCATTTAGAAGCGAAAAAAGCATATTGTAGACTTACCTTCAGTTGCCATGGTGATCATTAATTTTGCTGGACTGCCAGGACCACCACCCTTTCCCTGTTCATCAGGTTCCACCAGCGCCACTAGAGTGACCGTGTACTCGATGCACGGTGACAGGTCTGACGACTCGATGAACTCTTGCTCAGGTTCCGTCTGTGTTGATTGTATCAGAAAAGGGTTAAAATGTGATCAAGAGTCAAAGTTTACATTGGTCTCGATACTACCAGTAAATCTGAAATATGATAATTGTTCATCCTAATTCGCCTGATGAGACTTAGATTAGGTCGGAGGTGCATTCCACTTGAGCCGGGATGATAATGTCTTTTGGCTTTCTGAAATGCAATGGAATTGTAGGGCCTAGCCACACGATTGTGGAAGAGTTCAACTAGCCTTGAATGAAATAGGGTGAACACATGTTAACATGTGCTCAGGCAAACGGACAATCTCAAGTGGGATCAAGTTGAGATTGGTGGAAAGTGAAGAGAAACACAGAAAATGTCGCCTGATTTAGAACTTTTTTCCATGCCAGACCATCCGGTTTGGCACATCATCGGCCTCAACCACATTACTTTTGCTCCGAGTCCCCGGCAGGCCTGAAGAAGGCTTGGTCTATGAAGGCCATTTTGGGTGATGCCAGACTACAGCATATTGTCTTCCACATGTACCGACTGTCGGTTCTGGTCGTTATCTTTGAGGTCATCACCCTTTGGCTCCGACCTGTAGACACACCTGCAAGTCTGTCTGGCCAAGAGCACATCTTCAGCTCGACTTCGGCCGGCCCATTCGTTACCGTTTGTTATCGACTAAAGGTTTTGTCAGTCAAGATCGCTAGGGGATGTTTCTATGGCAGATTGTGGAGGTTTTCTCACAATGAAATAAGTAGGTTTCATGAAGCCAGTGAT